TTTTTTGGGAATTTTTTGGGAATTGTTGTTATTTTTGGTGCTTCTCTCACCGCTGGACACCATCCAGCTGAGGCAGTACCGGGGGAACACGGTCTGGGGGTTGTCACTGTACGTCAGCAGGTAATCAAAGCCGTTCTGGAAAACACGGAATTCCCGAAATTCCAAACAATTCCTGACATTCCTGACATTCCAAACATCCCCCAAACCCAGCAGGTAATCAAAGCCGTTCTGGAAAACACGGAATGCCCGAAATTCCCAACAATTCCTGACATTCCCAACAATTCCTGACATTCCAAACCATTCCTGACATTCCCCCAAAAACCCAGCAGGTAATCAAATCTATTCTGGAAAATATGGAATTCCCAACATTCCAAACAATTCCCAACATTCCTGACATTCCTGACATTCCCCCAAACCCAGCAGGTAATCAAAGCCGTTCTGGAAAACAGAGAATGCCCAAAATTCCCAACATTCCTGACATTCCAAACATTCCTGACATTCCCAACAATTCCTGAAATTCCCAACATTCCAAACAATTCCTGACATTCCTGACAGTCCCCCAAACCCAGCAGGTAATCAAATCCATTCTGGAAAATATGGAATTCCTGAAATTCCCAACAATTCCTGAAATTCTCAACATTCCAAACCATTCCCAAAATTCCCAACAATTCCCAAAATTCCCCCCAAATGCAGCAGGTGATCAATCAAAGCCGTTCTGGAAAATAAGGAATTCCCCAAACTCCCAACCATTCCCAGAGATTCCCAACACAGAATTCCCAACATTCCCGAAATTCCCAACAATTCCCAGCACTCCAAACATTCCCAAAATTCACAGAAATTCCCCCAAATTCCCAACATTCCCCCAAATCCAGCAGGAAATCAAATCTGCTCTGGAAAACAGGGAATTCCCAGAAATTCCCAGCAGGAATTGGCCCAGGAGCTGCCCCCAATTTTGGGGGAATTTTTTTCCCTGTTTTGGGTTTTTGGGGATTTTCCCACCCCCAAATTTGGGATTTTCCTGGGGTTTTTGGGTTTTATTCCCAAATTTTTGGGGTTTTTTTTCCCTCCCATTTTTCAGGGTTTTCCACCCCAAATTCTGGGATTTTGGGGCTTTTTCTGTCCTCGGGATTTTCCTGGTTTTCTCACTCCTAAATTTGGGATTTTCCCACTTTTGGGCGTTTTTTTCCCAATTTTTTGGGGTCTTTTCCCAAGTTTTGGGGTTCCCATCCCCTTTTCCCAACCCCAGCCCCAGGAACGACCCCAAATCCCCAAATCCCCAAATCCCAGGATCATTCCCCATTTTTGGGGTTTTACCTCCTCAAGTTCTGGGATTTTTCTGTTTTTGGGTTTTCCCGTCCTCACATCCCAGGATTTTCCCACTCCCAAATTTGGGATTTTCCCAGGTTTTGGGTGTTTTTTTCCCAATTTTTGGGGGTTTTTCCCCATTTTTTTTTGCTTTCCCCCCCCTTTTCCCAATCCCAGCTCCAGGAACGACCCCAAATCCCCAAACCATTCCCATTTTTGGGCATTTTTCCACCCCAAATTCTGGGATTTTTTTCCTTTTTTGGGATTTTCCCACTCCCAAATTTAGAATTATCCCAATTTTTTCGGCGTTTTTCCCCCAAATTTTTATCTTTTTTTTCCCAATTTTTTTCTGCTTTTCCCGATCCCAGCTGCAGGAAGGTCCCGAGCCCGGGGAGTTTTTGGGAATTCGGGATTTTTTTGGGAATTTCCCCAGCCCCACACCTCGTCGAAGCCGCGGTGGGGCCGGATCACCATGTGGGACTCGTAGCTCCGCACCCGCACGTGCTCGGGGTCCTCGGGAATCCCGGGGTGCTCCACGGCCCTGGGGACATTTGGGAATTCTGGAACGGCCCCAAATCCCCCAACAGGCACAACGGGGGGCGGGGAGACGAAAAAAATATCCCCCCTCAAAAAAATTATCCCAAAAAAAAAAATTATCCCAAAAAAAATTATCCCCAAAAAAAATAAAATTGTGGGAATCGGTGCGACTGCGGGGTTGGAATTGTTGGGAATTCCAGGAGGGGTTTGGGGTTGGAATTCTGGGAATTCCAGGGGGGGTTTTGGGAACGTTGGGAATTCTGGGAATTCCAGGGAGTTCTTGGGGATGGAATTTCAGGAATTCCAGGGGAGTTTTGGGGTTGGGAATTTCAGGAATCCTGGGAATTCCAGGGGGGTTTGGGAATATTGGGAATTCCAGGGAGTTCTTGGGGATGGGAATTTCAGGAATTCCCCAGGGGAGTTTTGGGATTGGGAATTTCAGGAATTTTAGACACGTTTTGGGATTGGGAATTCCAGGAATCCTGGGAATTTCAGGGGGGGGTTGGGGTTGGGAATGTTGGGAATTCTGGGAATTCCAGGGAGTTCTTGGGGTTGGAAATTTCAGGAATTCCCCAGGGGAGTTTTGGGATTGGGAATTTCAGGAATTTTAGACACGTTTTGGGATTGGGGGTTCCAGGAATCCTGGGAGTTGCAGGAGGGTTTTAGGGTTGGGAACGTTGGGAATTCTGGGAATTCCAGGGGAGTTTGGGGGTTGGGAATTCCAGGAATTCCAAGGGGGGGTTGGGGTTGGGAATTCCAGGAATTCCAAGGGGGGTTTGGGAATGCTGAGAATTCCAGGGGGATTCTGGGGATGGGAATGTTGGGAATTTCAGGAATTCCAGCAGGGTTTTAGGGTTGGGAATGTTGGGAATTCCAGAGGAGTTTTAGGGCTGAGAATTCCAGGAATTCCAACGGGGTTTTGGGGTTGGGAATTCCAGGAATTCCAGGGAGGTTTGGGGGTTGGGAATTCTAGAAATTCCAGGAATTTTTTCTGGGGATGGGGATGTTGGGAATTCTGGGAATTCCAGGAGTTCCTGGGGATTGCAATTTCAGGAATTCCAGGGGAGTTTTAGGTTTGGGAATTCCAAGAATTTCAGCCAAGTTTTGGGAATTTCAGGAATCCTGGGAATTGCAGGAAGGTTTTGGGGTTGGGAATGTTGGGAATCCCAATGGCTTTTTGGGGCCAGGAACGTCAGGAATTCCACAAATTCCAGTGGGGTTCCAGGGCTGGAAACACCAGGAATTTCAGGAACTGTTTTGGGGGAATTCCAAGGAAAAATTTTTTGGAAATTCCAAGGGTGTTGTCAGGAATTCCAGGGTGTTTTTGGGAATTCCAGGGTGTTTTTGGGAACTCCAGGGTGTGTTAGGGAACTCCAGGAGGGATTTTTGGGAACTCCAGGGTGTTTTAGGGAAGTCCAGGAGGGATTTTTGGGAATGCTCACCGTGACACGAGCACCATGAGGTTGTGGTCGCTGTCGACGCTGTAGCGCCGAACGTAAACGTAATCCCGGGAATACATCGGGTACTGCCCGGGAAACATGGGGAAACATGGGGAAACATGGGGGAAAATGGGGAAACATGGGGAAACATGGGGAAAAATGGGGAAAATGGGGAAAAATGGGGAAAAATGGGGAAAATGGGGAAAATGGGAAAAACGGGAACAGCACCGTCAGGGCACAGCCAAACACAGACACAGACACAGACCCTAAACCCAGATCCCAATCCCAGGTCCTAAATCCCAAATCCCAATCCAAGATCTCAATCCCAGATCCCAAATCCTGACCCCAGATCTCAAATCTCAAATCCCTGATCCCCAATCCCCAATCCCAATCCCCATCCCGGACCAGGAACTGCGTGACCCAAATCCCAAATCCCCAATCCCATTCCTGACTGGGAACTGCGTGACTCAAATTCCAAATCCCCAAATCCCAAACCCCAATCCCCAATCCCAGTCCCAAATCCCCAGTCCCGGACTGGGAACTGCGTGACCCAAAGCCCCAATCCCCAATGCCAAACCCCAAATCCCCAATCCCAAACCCCAGATCCCCAATGCCAAACCCCAAATCCCCAATCCCCCATCCCATCCCTGACTGGGAATTGTGTGACCCAGATCCCCAATCCCAAACCCCAGATCCCCAACCCCAATCCCAATCCAGACCGGGAACCGTGTGACTCAGATCCCAAATCTCGATCCCAAACCCCAGATCCCCGAACCCCAATCCCCAATCCCAATCCCCATCCCCAATCGCAGTCCCAGACTGGGAAGCGTGTGACCCAGATCCCAGATCCCCAAATCCCCGGATCCCAAACCCCAATCCCAATCCCAATCCTCAATCCTCAATCCCCAATCCCCAGACCCCATTTCCCCAATCCCCAAATCCCAATCCCCAAATCCCAATCCCAAACCCCAATCCCAATCCCAATCCCAATGCAGACCGGGAATCTGGTGACCCAGATCCCCAATCCCCAATCCCAAACCCCATTTCCCCAATCCCAATCCCCAATCCCA